CAAACAATGTTAAAACTCAGGTTGACAAGAACTCAGTTTGACTCAGCAAAACTCAGCTTGGCTAGACTACCCAAAACTGGCAAACACTCTGGCGTCGAGATAGTGGCAGTCAGCAGCTTAAGAACACTCCGTTAACAAAGTAACCATCAGCAGGTGTGTGAGGAGGCGGACCAGAACCAGGCGCCTCCTGGTGGAGGAAGGGAGACAAACACAGAAAACACATACAGACAGACAGAAGTCCTGACAGAACCAAGAGGTAGAGGTCAATTCCAACCAATCGACTGTCAGCAAGACGCAGCAAATGCTGCCCAGAGAGCCCCAGAGGCTGAAGCCCCAAAGACTGAAGAACAGGCAGGAGATCAGATCAAAGAAAATCAGAGACCCGAAGAAGTACCTGAAGGAAATCCAGGTCGGTGTTAGGAAGCAATTCCAGGTTTGGTCAACAGTCAGAATCCAGCAGGAGTCCGAAGACAGATCAGGCAAACAGATCAGAACAAGAACAGGGAGGCTCAGAGGTCCAGAGGCAATCAGAAAACCCCAATACTCCCTAGAAGACTCTCAACAATAATCTGGCACTGCCGACTGGGAGCAGATAGGGTTAAATAAAGACTGGAGCAGGTGGAACAGATGAACGGTGATGAGAAACTGGGTGGAGTCATCAGTGCCAAGATCATGACTTAAAGAAAATGTGACTACAAGAAAGAGAAAGAGAGAGACTCTTCCTGCAGACGAGGGTACGCAAATATAAATTTTTAAAAACATTTTTTAATTTAACCCATTAAACTCACTACAATCAGAAGATTGATAAAGAGGCTTTATAAAGGGAGGGAAAGGCTTTTTTTCCTACTTCCACCTTTAGTGTGGTGTAAGCTTGGTGTTTGTGTTTTACACCCCCTGGAGTTGGTCAGAATATTTGGTACCAGTGGAAAAGTACCATGGAATATATACACTGAAGACCGGGGTTTCCTTGCGTCTCATTTACTATCTGGAAAGTTCTTGTATCAAACTTTATGACAAGAAAGTGGAGGCACATAAAATTTTCCAATACAGTGCAGCTGAGACTTCACCTTGGAGTGAGCCCAGGGCTTGAGGTCTGTCTGGATAGCGGCCCTCTCTGAGTTTTACATCATTTCACTGGGGGAGGTCCATGTGGGAATCAACAGTGACACTTAACAGAACTTCCAAATCGTGCATAACGTCATTTAGCCTCAGTTCGCCATGATCTGCTGCGCTTTGTTAACAGGACCTTTTTTCTTCAAGTTCACTCAGGAATTCATTACCCAGTAAGCCCGTCCCAAATGGTATGTAATCAGTGCCTACTCAGGTCGACTGTCTTTCAGATAAGATGTTCTAAAGAAATACTCTAAAAAGATAGGATTTGACGCCCAGCTCTGAACCGGAGTGGTTTTTCAATGCTAGACTTCTGTAGAAATAATGGATATATCATGTACACCATGTTTGAACATAAGGATGTCCATTGATTCACTTGGCACCAGGACATATTTACCCTAGGCTGGATATCGACAATTCGACTCTCTCATATCTTCTGACCTTCAGCCATAGATTATTCCAGAATGGAGGGTTACAGCAGTTTCTTAAAGGGGTCATAGAGTGCAAAAGAGAAATTCAAACCCCATCGACACCTCCTTTCTCTGCAAATCTCACAATTCTAAACTTCCACCATGAAACGTGCGAATTCAGACGAAGCCCCAAGTTCACGTAAACTCAATCGCTGAAAGAGAGAAGCTCCTCCTGCAGACGAGGAGACTGGACAGGCTGATTACTCCATTCCCCACCTGCGGCATCTATGTAGGTGCATCTGGTCAAGTTTCCACCTCTGGTAACTGCTCCTTCCTGAAGTCCTCTGCATGGTTGGCCTGGCCATCCTTCTAAGTGAACAGTCAGTCGCTCCAGCCATCTTCTCCACCTCTCAGGATCTCCACCTGGAATCCACCCTGAAACATCAGCCCCTTACCATTCTCTAATTCTCTTACCCCTCCCTGGTGGTCAAGATCCTCATCCTCAGAAAGAACTATCAATTTATCCACCTCAGTTTACTGTTGTTTCAAATTACTCCAGAACCAACTTAGATACAACTTAATAAATGGAACACTTCATCTGTTCACCATTTTGCTACCTTGCAAAAACAGATTCTAATGATTTTCATCAAGTTCAAAAGGTATTTTTAATGTTAAATACATCTTACGAATGTATTTTTTTCAAATATAGTATAATGCTCATATTGTAGATTAAGAACAGTTTAGAATTTTGATAAATTCCATTAGCAGATTTTTTCCCCCTCCTTAATTCTGTCTAATCTATCACACTTGGCTATTATGTGGCTATAATTTCTTTTCCCATCATATGTGCATATAGTTTTCCAATAAAAATAATTTGTCACTGATCCCTGATATGTGTGTTAAATGGTGCATAAGCAAGCAACATAGGATTCAAGTGCTAGCCATAAGTTTGCATTGGAATATTTTGTTTGAGATGGATAATAACTGAGCTGTGATCACAAATGATCATATGGTAATAATTACTATATTCAGTTTTGGAAATTAATTTTGAATCAACTATAAAATAATATGTATGCGAAAATGATTTGTGCACTTGGTAGACATAAAGAATAGTCATGATTGGTTTGGTGCAGTAGCCTCTATAAATACACTATATTGCCAAAAGTATTTGCTCACCTGCCTTGACTCACATACGAGCTCAAATGACATCCCGTTCCTAATCCATAGGGTTCAATATGACGTCGGTCCACCCTTTGCAGCTAGAACAGCTTCAACTCTTCTGGGAAGGCTGTCCACAAGGTTTAGG